ACCTGGCCTGGGCCAAGCTCCTCTCCCTTCTCAGGGCCTGGACATAACTCTGCCTCCCCAGCGCGGCTCTGGCCCAGGCCTGGGAGGCAGCTTCCTTCCTAGCCCTGGTCTGAGGGGTCAGGGAAAAGAAGCCTGGGTCTTGACCTGGCTCCTGGGCTCCAAAAAGTAGACTGGCAGCCAGCCCGCGTGCCAGACCTGTCTCTGGGCTGGCTGCCTGCTCTGCCATCTCTTTGCTTGTTGAATATAAGAAGGATGCTTGCCTGGGCCTTTACTGCTGGCAGAGGGCTTCCATAGTCACGATTGTGTTGGATCCACATAAGGGTCTGGAGAAAGGAGTTCTTTGGTCCTCTCTATTTTAAAGATGAGGACAATGAGCCTTCAGGAAATGGAGTGACTTCCCCAAGGTACACAGTCAACGAGGGATGGGGCTGGGATGGAGCCACCACCGTGGGAATCACGTGCTCTTTTTTCCGCTCCTGCGCATAGCCCCCTTCCTCTGTCATTGTCTGAGCCCATGATCCGAGTCTGCACAGGCTGCTGGCCTCTGGCCCTAGGAGCCCCTTGGGGATCTCTGGCCCTGCCCTGCTCTTCTCATACCCAAATGCAACGTTTCTGAGCCTGTCTCCAGCACAGCCTCTTGGGCAGCCCAGCTCGTCCCTGTTTCCAGGTGTCTTACTGACACTTGGCACCCTGCAGCCCAGCCCAGCTGTGCCTGTCACTGGCTGCCCCCAGTGGGTGCCAGCTGAGACAGGAGACTGGTGTAGCTCTGGCGGAGGTTATTTTTAATGTCAGTCCTGGGCCACGCTCTGCCGGGACAGTCTTGGATTTAGGGCACCCAGTGCCAGCCTGCTGGGTTGGCTGTACAGAGGAGGGGGCAGGAATGAAGGGAAGCCTCGCTGCTGTCTCGAAGACTTTTACCAGTGTGGACAGGATAGGGTGAGGGATCCTTTGCCCACTCTGTCCTCTCTTCCTGCCTGGTCTCTCTTCCTGTCCTTGTCTCTGGCCCCACCCTGTGATCTCTGAGCTGGCGTCTTCCTCCCATGGTGCCAACAGTAGAGTATGCTGCTAAACAAAGGCCCCCCATTCAACTCAGAAAGCCGCCCTGTCTCTTGTCTCTGCCCGCCTCTGGCTAGGGTGCATGGGCAGGGCTGCGTCTGTCCCACTGGCTTCCACCCTGGCTCTGTCCAGGGGCATTGTGGAAGGTCTGACTCTGGGTCCAGGGTGGAGGTGGACTAAACCAAACAGGGTGCGGCTTCTCCACCCTGGGAACTGCAAAACCAGCACCTCTGGTTCTTATGGGACAATTTCCTTGGTTCTCCTCAGGAGAAGGTGGGGTGGAAGATGGGGCTGGTTGCCAGTCCTGCCAGAGGTCTGACTGCTAGCCTTCCTTTGTAGCAACGGCGCTGCCCATTATCCTTTCCTCAAGAAAAGTATGGTGGTGTCCTCTCTGAATTGCTTTCCATCTCTGGCCCTGCCCACCCTCAGCCTTCTCTTGTCTGTCCTGGGAATCTTAGACATCAATGTTCCTTAGAAACCCAAGATCACCTGGGCTGCCCCTTCTGTAGATGAGAACCAGAGAGGGGAAGTAATCACCCAAGGACACCTAGCATGTTTGTGGCAGAGCAGGGACTAGAACCTGGGACTCCTGATTCACAGCCCAGTGCTCTCCCTCCAGCTCTGAGCACTCTTGGCCCCTTGGCCCCCTCCTTCTTTTGGTGAGGGGGGCTCAGCTTCACCCAGCCCAACCCCCATCTCGTCCCTCACTCTCTGCAGCAGGCTGTCTGGGCCTTTCCCTTCAACACCAAGATGTCCCTCTGTCCTTGGGAGCAGCCTCTCTAGTGGACTACACGCTGGTCCCACAGTGAGACAGACTTGGATTTGAGAGGAACTCCACCATTTTCTCCATGTGGAGCCTCAGTTTCCTCACCTAGAAATTGGAAATAATAGAATGCCTGCCAGGGTTGCTTTGAAGGAGAATGAGATTCATTTGATAATAAAGGCAACTGGGCTCCGTCCCCATGGTCTCCTTTGACCTCTGTGTGGGTCTGACTCACCGAGGGCAGCTGTCTAGCCCTCAGCTCCTTTTGGCTCCAGGTCTGGGCTGGCTGCTGTGGTGAGGGGACTGCTGAGGAAACTCTCCTGTGGCCAGCCTTGGCCTTGGTGATCCCTTTAACATGGGGCTGGTGAATGGATGGTCCCTGTGGTTCTGGTCCCCTCTCCTCAGCTGAGAAGCCCCAGGGTTGGGCAGCTGGTTATTGAGGAGGGGCATTTTCTAGTTAGGATGGAGCATTTTTACGCAACAGGGCTGGAGATGTCCACTTTTTCTGACCAGAGATGACCGAGGCTGGGCATCAGGTGTTAGTTCAGCCCTCCGCCCAGCACAGTGGCATTTAGAGGGCGTTTTAGTTTCCTAGGGGCCCTGGGTGGTGCAAATGGTTAACATGCTGTTAACCAAAATGTTGGTGGTTGAAGTCCACCCACAGGTGCCTGATGATCTAATTCAAAAAAACCAGCCATTGAAAAGTCCGTGGAGCACAGTTTTACACATATGGAGTCACCATGAGTCAGAGTCGACTTGAAGACAACTGGGTTTTTTTTTTGTTTGTTTTCTTTTTTTTTTTTTTTAATTTCGCAGGGCTTCTATGACAACGTACCTCAAACTGGGTGCCTTAAGACAACAGAAGTTTACTGTCTCATAGTTTTGGAAGCTGGAAGTCTGAAATCAGGGTGTTGTGCCGGCAGGGCCACACTCCCTCTGAAGGCCCTAGGGAAGAATCTTCCTTGCTTCTTCCAGCTTCTGCTCCTTGGCTTGTGGCAGCATCACTGCCCTCTGCCTCCATCTCCTCAGGGCCTTCCTCCCCCGTGCGTCTCCTCCGTGTTTCTGTGTCTAAATCTCCCTCTCCTTTCTCAGATAAAGACGTCAGTCAATGGATTTAGGGCCTGCCCTGTTCTGCTATGACCTCATCTTAGCTGGATGACCTCTGCAAAGACCCTATTTCCAAATAAGGTCCCATTTGCAGGTAGAGGAGATTAGGACTTGAACATGTCTTTGGGGGACACAGTTCAACCCACGACAGAGGGCAAATGCTACTTACCGTATTTACCCGTAGAGTTTCACCTTCCTTTCCAAGTGCTTGGATGTCAGGTCTTACTGTCTGAGTTTTTTCCTCCCTGGGGCAGCTCCTGTGACAGGCTCGCCCCTCCCAGCACTCCTGTGTTCTCTCTTGGGCCCTAACCTTGGGGCAGGGGAAAGGTCCAGGGAAGGAGGAGGGGCACCGGGCAATGTTTTCCGGAGTCTGACTTCTCTGAGCCTCTGGTTGCCTGCTCTTGGCCATTCCACCTCCTTGCAGCTGGGGAACGGGTGTGTATGGCGTGTGGGGTGGGGGACTCCTCCTGAAATAGCCACCATTGGCGAATGCCAGGGAAGCAGCTGGGCACATCTGGCAGCACAGAGCCTCTGTCTGCCATTCTGGGCCTGCTTCTGTTTATCAGCCTGAAACTCTTGAGCCACTCGGGGTGGTGGGAGGAGAGAAGGAGGCAGCTGGGAGCTGGGGTGGCTCTGCCTCTGCCTGTTGCAGTATGCTCATGGGCAGGGAAGGGACCAGGAGTTGCCATAAAAGGCAGGAGACCTGAAAGGTTATTGTCATCCTCCTGGCGGGTGGCTCTGGGCCATTATATCCTTCTTGCTCTTTGTTCCTGGGGTGGGGCCAGGTAGTACTGGCCACCCCACCCTCATCCTCACCTGCTCACTCATCACAGCAGGAAAACCGGTTTGAGGTGGTGGGTACTGCCCAGCCTCATGGAGGGGCAGCCTGGGGTCTGAGTGCGGACCTTGCTCTCTGAGGCCACACTGGGACGTGCAAAGGCCACAGACTTTGGTGTCACTCAAGCCTGGTGCCTGGTCCTATCCCTGCCATTTCCCTGCTGTACTACCTCACTTGGTGGAGCCTCGGTTTCCACATCTGTAAACTGGGGGAACAAAGTATGTCCTCTGAACCCCACTTGGGAGGCTGACAGCATTTGTAAAAGTGTAGCACAGAGCAGGCCCTCACTGGGGCTCAGCTTCCCTGGTCTCCCTTCCTAGGCCACTCGCCGCTGGTGGTCAGTTCCGAAGACAGTGGAGACAAGCACAGACTCAATGGGAAGCATACCAACATTGTATACCTACTATGAGCCAGGCACTATGCTGGGTCTTTTGCAAATACTCACAATACCCTGCAAGGGAGATGGTGTTCGTCCATTTTACAGATTTGAACCTGTCTGTGGGACTCAGAAAGCTGGGCAAGGCTTCTAGGAGCTGGGGTGCTGGGTCCTCTGGGGCCACTTGTGATCCTGCCCCACCTGGGGAGTCTCTGAGGAGCCTAAGGCACCACTGGCTGCTCCCAGCAGCCTCCTGGGCTCCCCGAGAAACCTGTCTGACCGCTTCCCTGCCCCACCCAGTTTCCTGTCCAATGGCTGCAGTCCCTTGCTGCCTCCGCAGCCTTTTCCAGGAACCCCAGTGGGTGGGGGTGGGCTCATGCAGCCCCAGAAGCTGCAGGAAGTCCTGAGTGACTCCTCCTGCCCCTGGCAGTGTTGGGTGGGGCAGAGAGGTGAGTGAGCTCAGGCTGGGTAGGGGCATTTGGTTCTTTACAGTCCCACCCCCATGGGTTTACCCCACCCTGGACTGGAGTCAGTGATGCAAGCCCAGGCCTCACTCACCCCTGGGGCTCCTCCACCCCCAAGGTGTCCCATCATGGGTAGCCCCTTCTGGCCTGGTGCCCTTCTATCTCTTCCCATACCCCCAATAGCCCACCAGGCCCTTGAGGCTTTGATTTTCTCCCTGATGGTGTGAGGGGAGGGGTGCTGGGGAGGGCCTAGGGATGGAGGAGGGTGGGCTGGGGTGGGGATGGGCTGAAAGAGACGGGGGCTGGGAGGATGGAGTTGGGTGCTGGGGCAGGTGTTAGGTTGCCAGGCCTGGGATCCGCTGACTTCTTGCCCCTCCCTTGTGCCCCCAGCAGCTACAATGGAGGTGATGAACCTGATTGAACAGCCCATCAAGGTGACCGAGTGGCAGCAGACATACACCTATGATTCGGGCATCCACTCAGGTGCCAACACCTGCGTGCCCTCTGTCAGCAGCAAGGGCATCATGGAGGAGGATGACGCCTGCGCGCGCCAGTACCTGCTCAAGAAGACCACCACCTACACGCAGGGTGTGCCCCAGAACCAAGGTTGGGACCCCCGGGGGCTCTTCCCTGGGGCGGAAAACCTGGAGAGAGAGGGTAGAGAAGAGGAGGCCAACTTAGGGGGCTCCTGGTCGGAGGGGGTCTTTTTTCTGCCAGAGGACAGAAGCTTCTTGGCTTGGCAGGGCCAGGTGTGTGGTGTTGGTAGCTGAAAGCACAGGTGGGAAAGCCATGTAGACGTGTCCTCCTTCCTGCCTAATTAGAGGGTGGAACCTCTGCCTTCCTCCACCTAGGGGCCATTGGGACAGCTGCCAGAGCTCGGCTGCCTGGGAAGCCTGGGCACCTGTTTATGGGAATCCTAGGCCCACCCAGGGGGTGGGATCTAGAGGCGGAACCTGAAGTCTGAGCTGAGAAACAGCCCCTTCTTTCTGTTCTGACTTTCCTGCTGATCTGGTATATGATACTGAGTGGCTCTCTGGGCCTCTATTTGCCTGCCCATATAATGGGAGAGTTGCTGATGATGAGGGAATAATTAGAATCATGAAATTTCAGGTTGAAAAGAGAACTAGGTTGTCTACCTGATGGTTAAAAGTACGGGTTTGGGCTCTGGAGTCAAGACTGCTGGGTTCAGATCCCAGGTTGGGCTTTTAAAAATCTCTGTGCCTGTTTTTCCATCTGTAAAATGGAGATACTAGTTCTTACCTTGTAGGATTGTTGTCGCGATTAAATGAGAAAAGATAAGAAAAGCACTTAAATCACTGCCAGGCACATCATCAGTGCTGAAAAATCTTAGCTATTCCTATTAATAATTATCGCTAACATTTTTATAGTGATATGTGCCAGGCACATGAATCCTTTCTTTTCAGAGCAATTCACAGCTACTATCTCATTTACTTCTCATAAGAATGTGGTGGACAGAACAGGTGTAGCCCCCATTTTACAGATTTAATAACCGAGGTGGTGGTGACCTCCCCAAGGTCACTGGTTAGAGGCAGACCTGGGAGTGGTACCCTGGGGCTTTGGTCCAGGTGGGAGGCAGCCCAGAGAACCTTGGTTGCGCTGTTGGTGTGGCCTGCCCTGCTCCCAGTGTCCCCGCCTGCCTCCTGCAACTCAGTCCCTGCCCCGTTGGTCCCCAGGTGACCTGGAGTACCAGATGTCCACAACGGCCAGAGCCAAGCGGGTGCGGGAGGCCATGTGTCCTGGCGTGACGGGGGAGGAGAGCTCGCTGTTGCTGGCCACCCAAGTGGAGGGGCAGACCACCAACCTGCAGTGGCTGGCTGAGCCGTCCCAGATGCTCAAGTCGGCCATTGTGCATCTCATCAACTACCAGGATGACGCTGAGCTGGCCACCCGGGCCCTGCCCGAGCTCACCAAATTGCTCAACGATGAGGACCCGGTCCGTGAGGGGCCTGGTTGGAGTGGGGGCAGGGCAAGGAGGGTGAGGTCAGGTGTCCCTAGGGGAGGGGTCCTCCTGGAGTCGGGGGAGGTCATTGACCCAGAGTCCCCACAGAGAGGAGCATCTGACTCGGGTCTGGCTGTACCTTGTCTAGGGGTTTCCTGGCCCCTCCTCCCCACAGTGGCAGCCTGGCCTGGCCCACCTACTCACCACATCACCCTGACTCTCCCCCCGACCCCCTGCCCTGCAGGTGGTGGTGACCAAGGCGGCCATGATTGTGAACCAGCTGTCCAAGAAGGAGGCATCGCGGCGGGCCCTGATGGGCTCACCCCAGCTGGTGGCGGCCGTGGTGCGCACCATGCAGAACACCAGCGACCTGGATACAGCCCGCTGTACCACCAGCATCCTGCACAACCTCTCCCACCACCGTGAGGGGCTGCTTGCCATCTTCAAATCAGGCGGCATCCCCGCCCTGGTCCGCATGCTTAGGTGCCTGCCACCGACTCACTCCCCCTGCCCCCTGGGCTTCCATAGAACATGTACTGAGCACCACACCATGCTGCTCAGGCACTTTTAGCGTAGCTGGAGAGTTGTTAGGTGCTGTCTAGTCGATTTCGATGCATAGTGACCCCGTGTGACAGAGAACTGCCTCATACAGTGTTTTCTATGCTGTAATCTTTATGAGAGCAGATCACCAGGGATTCCTCCCCATGGAGCCACTGGGTGGGTTCCAACTAACAACCTTCTGGTTAGTAGCCTAGTTCTTAACTTTTGTGCCAGCAGGGGAGACAGGCGTGTAAATAGCAGTAGCATTCACCATACGATACAGGCGAGGGCCGAGGGACATCCGGGATTGCTCAGAGGCAGGAACTGTTCACTCTAACGGCAGGGGTTGGAGGATGAATGGAATCTGGCCGTTGTAGATGAAGGAAAGAGGAGCGGTGAGATTTTGTTCATGCTCCCCCTTGAACTCCTTGCAGGGCCTCTAGTATGTAGCCTTCCACGTGGTAGTTGCTCAGTAGGGACGGACGTTGAGAGGACCTACTGTGTGCTCAGCACTAGCGTCATGGTCCCAGTGGAGAGACAGATGCTGTGTGCTCCTGCTCTGAGTGGGGCTGGGCTCAAAGGATGATGGGAGTTTAGCAAAGGGATATTTCTGTGGGGGTGTTGGTATTGGGGAGGCTTCCTGGGACCTACCTCATGCTGAGTCCCCTGCCTGCCATCCCAGCTCCCCGGTGGAGTCGGTCCTGTTCTACGCCATCACCACCTTGCACAACCTGCTGCTCTACCAGGAGGGTGCCAAGATGGCGGTGCGCCTGGCGGACGGGCTGCAGAAGATGGTGCCCCTGCTCAACAAGAACAACCCTAAGTTCCTGGCCATCACCACCGACTGCCTGCAGCTGCTGGCCTATGGCAACCAGGAGAGCAAGGTGGGCCCCGCCTGGCCCTGCCCAAGGCTCGAAGCCTGCCAGTGCATCACCTTCCATTGTGCTGCAGCTTCAAGCTCCTGCCCCGCCACGCCTTTTGGGTTAAATATATATCTAATGCAGATAGATATGCTTTATCTTATCGCTGAATGTTTCAAGGATAAGGAAACAAACAAAAAAATCACTCATCATCCTCATACAACTACTGTTGTCATTTCAATGTGCTTCCTCCAGTACTGTTCTGTGGGGATAGTTTTGCATAGTTGTAGTCAAAGCAAATGTGCAACTTTTTATCTGTTTTCTACATGACACACACACACATATATATATATATATATATATATACACATTTCTTTTTCTTCTGTTTTTGCTGTATTATCCTCAAAACCACCCACTGTATTGGCCAAATAGCATTTCATTAAGTGAAGGCCCCAAACTTTATTCTGAGGCAGGGCATTAGATTGCTCCTAATTTCTCACCTTTATAAACAATGCTGTAATGAACATCTTTGGGCATGTAGCTCTTCTCAGAGGAGACTTTTATTATAGGCTAAATTTTCATTATGAAGCTAAGTTTTTTGTTTTTGTTTTTTTTTTTAAACATTTCTAGGCTTTTACCCAGATGGCTTTCCAAAAGGATTGTACTCATATACAATGCTACTGGCAGCAATGTATATGAATACAATTTTACCACATCCTTGCAAGCACTGGGTATTATCCTTTTTTCAAAGTTTTGTTTTATTTAATAGGCATAAAAGCTATTCAGGCTTTAGCTGAAGCTTACTAATGACAGCTCTGTCAGCCTCTTTTCTCCCTTATTCCTTGTCTGTCTCATACCTCTTCTCACCCTTTCCCCCAACAGCTGATCATTCTGGCCAATGGAGGACCCCAGGCCCTCGTGCAGATCATGCGCAACTATAGTTATGAGAAGCTGCTCTGGACCACCAGCCGTGTCCTCAAGGTGCTGTCCGTGTGTCCCAGCAATAAGCCAGCCATTGTGGAGGCTGGTGAGTATTATGGCCTGTGAGGGTGGCCCATGTGGCCAGGAGGGCTGGGGTAGGGGCCTGCCCAGCAGCCAGGCTCAGTCAGCCAAGCTACACTGTGGCTGACTTGACCCCCACCCCTGCCCCAGGTGGGATGCAGGCCCTGGGCAAGCACCTGACAAGCAACAGCCCACGCCTGGTGCAGAACTGCCTCTGGACCCTGCGCAACCTCTCGGACGTGGCCACTAAGCAGGTGAGGGAGGCGTTCAGGCCTGGGGCTGGCGTCTTCAGCTGCCTCATCTTTCCCTCTTACCACGTCCTTCCTCCAGCCTGTCTGGGAGTCTGACCTTAGAGTCCAAGGGAGCCTGGAGCCTCTCAATCTTCCCCCTTCGTGGCTGTGATCAGAAATACCCTGAAGACCCTCATCCCTTTAGTTTAAGCATCTAATCCTCTTTAGGGATAGAGAAGGGAAAAGAAAAGGGGTTGTTTTCAAACTGGGTTCAGGTGGTACCAGAGGATTGGTTTTGACCTGGACCCTGGGGTGAGGAGTAGCAGTGTGCCAAGGGACAGCTTTGGAGTGGGGTGCTGCTGGCTGACACTCTGCTAGGCACTTGTGGACTTAGCTCCTTTAATTCTTTCCACAACCTGGAGGTAGTGGGTGGGACCTCATTGTTTAGATGCAGTAACTGATGCTCAGAGTTAAGTAAGTGGCCTAGGGCCACAGATAGTAAATGGCAGAGCCGGGATTTGAACCCAGGACTGTCTGTCCTCAAAGTCTGAGGTCTTTCTCTTCAACTGCAAGCCCGCATGGCTCTCCTTGGGAGAAGTGAGGCTTCTGGGTTTGAGATGTTTCCTGAAAGTAGAATTTGGCTTGAGGACCACTGGAGGGCAGCAGTGAAGGCCCAGAAGGGCAAGAATGTATAAAAATGTGTCAGCCAATGGATCAGCCGGGCCTTTGAAGCATGTGGCCTCCTCTACAGTTTCCTCCTGGCCTCTCTTGGTCTGAGTTGGGCTCAGCCTGGAGCTGAGGACCCAGAGAAGAGGCAGGATGTGGCAGAAGAAAGAGCATCGTGCTTAGAACCAGGCCTGGGTTCAAATACAGCCCACTAGTTAGGGGTCTATGGGCAAGTCCCTCAACCTCTCTGAACCTCTGAAGGCTAGTACTGCCCCCTCACAGGTGTTGGCAGGGTTATGGGGATGAAAATTCCTAGCTCAGCTCCTGACATGGAGCGGAAGCAGGGCTGATCATGCATCAGCTACGTCTGGGTTTGAAGCCCTCTTGGCCATCTCTCTTCCTGGAACATACTGGGGAAGGCTTCCTGGAGTCGGGAGTCTCCTTCACTCTCCGCTGCCTCCCTTGACTCTCAGGAGGGCCTGGAGAGTGTGCTGAAGATTCTGGTGAACCAGCTGAGTGTGGATGATGTCAGTGTCCTCACCTGTGCCACGGGCACGCTCTCCAACCTGACGTGCAACAACAGCAAGAACAAGACACTGGTGACGCAGAACAGCGGTGTGGAGGCTCTCATCCACGCCATCCTGCGTGCCGGTGACAAGGACGACATCACGGAGCCGGCTGTCTGCGCCCTGCGCCACCTCACCAGCCGCCACCCCGAGGCCGAGATGGCCCAGAACTCCGTGCGCCTCAACTATGGCATTCCAGCCATTGTCAAGCTGCTCAACCAGCCCAACCAATGGCCACTGGTCAAGGTACTGACTGCTACTGCAGGGGGGCGCTGGGTGAGGGAAGGGCCTCCTGTGGTCAGGGTTGGGCACTGTGTAGGTGCAGGCAAATCTGCTGTAACAAAGCAAGCCAAGCTAGTTGCCACTGAGTCGCTTCCAACTCATGGTGACGCCATGTGTGTCAGAGTAGAACTGTGCTCCACAGTTTTTTTGTTGTTTTTGTAAAATTTATTTTGTTGTTGTTGTTGAGGATATACACAGCAAAACATACACCAATTCAGCTGTTTCTACCTGTACAGTTCCATGACACTGATTACATTCTTCGAGTTCTGTAACCATTCTCACTCTCCTTTTCTGAGTTGTTCCTCCTCCATTAACATCAACTCACTGTCCCCTCAGGTTCCCATCTAATCTTTCGAGTTGTTGTTGTTACTTTAATCCTATACAGGTAGCTCTTAAAAGAGCATACTGCCCAAGGCAGACATTTTTTTACTAGTGTAGCTAAATTAGCTCCATAGGGTTTTCAATGGCTGATTTTTCTGAAAAGGATTGCCAGGACTTTCTTCCCAGGCACCTCTGTGTGGACTCAAACTGCCAACCTTTTGGTTACCAGCCAAGTGCAGTGACCGTTTGCACTGACCAAAACCAAAACCAACCCGTTGACATCAAGTCAATTCTGACTCACAGTGACCCTACAGGACAGAGTAGAGCTTGCCGTACGGTTTCCAAGGCTGTCATCTTTACAGAAGCAGACTGCCACATCTTTCTCCCATGGAGCGGCTGCCAGTGGGTTCAAACCACCGACTTTTTGGTTAGCAGCTGGGCACTCAGCCACTGCACACCAGGGCTCCTTGCAATAACAAATAGGCCCTAAAATATAGTGGCTCAAATGAGATAGAAGTTTATTTCATTTAGTAATGGTTTAGACCTTGATGGCTCTACTCCAGAGACCCAGATTCTCTCTATCTTGTAGCTCCACCACCCCCTAAAGCAGTGCTTCTCAAAGTCTAATGTGCACCTAAGTCCCCCGAGGCTCTCATTAAACTGCAGGTTCTGGTTCACCAGCTCCCAGGTGATGCTGTTGGTCCACGGAATACCTTTCTTGTGCCAAAGGGTCCAGATGAGGGGGTTGTCCTTACATTAGTGGTTGGACTGTCTCACTGTCCCCGCAGATGTGTTCTAGTCCTGGAGAAGTGGGGAAAAAGGAGAAGGGCCAGCAGTGACCAGAAAATGGGACACGTTGCCTTGGCTCCCACCCCAGAACTTGGTTATTTAGCCACATCTAGATGTAAGGAGGCCAGGAAACGTGATCCACCAGCTGGGCCACCATGTGTCCTGCTAAAAATCAGGGGGCGGGTACTCAAAGACAAAGAGAAGAGCAGATTCTGGGAGACATTTAGTCTCTGGATGGGAAGGGGTGGAGCCTTCTTCTCAGGAGGCTACCTGGGTAGAGGAGAGATGTATACCACCTTTCTCTCATGGGGAAGGGGGTGAGAGTGAGCCTAGTGGTGCATAGGCCCAAGGGACAGGGAGAGTGAGTGTGTGTGTGTGTCTAGGTGTAGAAACAAATAAAAGAGCCAAAATCCAGAGTGATGCCTGGCGCCAGAGTATGAGGAAACTGCCGTCGACTAAGGGTCTTATCGAAAGAGCACAGGAGCCAGCTGGCAGGGTCCAGCAGCCAAATGTGAGACAATTTGAACAGTACAGATAAGAATGACTCTAGTGATTGTACACACTGGCAAATAATCCACAGTGAGGGAAACACAATGGCAGTGCATGGCCTCTCCTTGGTGCTTGCTCCCAGCTGCCAGCCTGAGGTGGGGGAGAGAGTGGCGTGAGGAGAGGGGCCACTGAATGCAAGTCAGGAAGGCTGGATTTGCCTCCTGACCCTGCAGCTAAGTGACTAATAAGTGGCCCTGGCAAGCCTTCCACCCCCGTGCTCATGTCCTCATCTCTCATCTGGAGACTTTTCGTTCCTGCCCTCCTGGCTTCTTGTTTGGAGGGTCAAATGACTGGACAAATTCCTTTGCAAGACCCTGAGGGATTATGGGAAGCCAGAGAGGCTCCTGGCAACCCGGGGGTTCCATACCGCTTCCTGGAACTGCCCTGCTTGGGGTTGATTACCACTGACTATCACCAAAGCAGGAGGCTTTGGGGTCAACCACAGCAAAGACTTCCTGGTAATCAGGGTTTGGGAACTATCAGAAAAGCAAGTAGGACCACGTCTGTGGGTGGGTTAAGAGAGAGGGGACAGGGTGCGGGTCAAGGCATGGGAGCTGGTGGAATGTTCTGGAACAGGGTATCATTTTAGCAGGGGCTATTAGAGATACAGGAGCCCCAGTGACACAGCGATTAAGAGCTCAGCTGCTGACCAAAAGGTGAGCAGTTCAGATCCACCAGCTGCTCCTTGGAAACCCTGTGGGGCAGTTCTACTCTGTCCTGTAGGGTCACTATGAGTCGGAATTAACTCGACAGCAATGGGTTTGCGTTTTTTATTAGAGTTAGAAGGTCCTTAGGTGGCACAAATGGTTTGTGCTTGACTACTAATCTAAAGGTTGGTGATTCAAACCACCCAGAGGTACTGTGGAAGAAAGGCCTGACGGTCTGCTTCTATCAAGATTACAGCCAAGTAAACTCTATGGAGCAGTTCTACTCTGCAACACATGGGGTTGCCATGAGTCGGAACTGACTTACGGCAACGGCTTAGCGTTTTTTCTTTTTTTTGGTTTATTAGAGTTAGACATGAGGACCCAGAGGTCCTGTAGAATAAGGGAGTTGGACCGGGGGTGGTCTCGTTCTCGAGATCTTCTAGCATGTCTGTGTCAGGCCTGGTGGACAGAAGAGGCAGGGGAGGTAGGCGATGACTGATGCTGGGAAACTGGGATCTTCCAAATGTCCAAGAAATGCCCCTGACACTGCCCTTTCCTTGCCAGGCAACCATTGGCCTGGTCAGGAATCTGGCCCTGTGCCCAGCCAACCATGCCCCACTGCAAGAGGCAGCAGTCATTCCCCGCCTCGTCCAGCTGCTGATCAAGGCCCACCAGGATGCCCAGCGCCATGTGGCTGCGGGCACACAGCAGCCCTACACGGTAAGTAAGCGGGGTGGTACCTGTAACAGCCCTCCCTCGGGAATCAGGGTGTCCTCTGTGTGAATGTGTAAGAGTGTGCACGTGACTGTATGTCACATGTGTGTGCACATATGTACATTTGTGCATGTGTTACATGTGCACACATGTGTGCAGGCATTATGTGTATATTCATGCATGCACGTGTGTGTGCGCACATGTGTGCATGTGAGGTGGGGAGGGGAGTTGCGATTGATGCCAATTCCAAGGACCAGTGAGGTTTGTCAGGGTGTCATGAGGAAGTTGTGGCCACGTGCAAAGGCCATCTGTCCCATGCCCCAATGCCTCCTCTGGCTGCAGGATGGTGTGAGGATGGAGGAGATTGTGGAGGGCTGCACCGGAGCCCTGCATATCCTTGCCCGTGATCCCATGAACCGCATGGAGATCTTCCGACTCAATACCATCCCCCTGTTTGTGCAGGTGAGTCTGGGACAGGTGGGCAGGAGAGGTCCCTCTGACCCCCACTTCTCCCCACTGCCAGCTGAGGGGAGAAGGTTGGGAGCCATGATCTCTGAGGGGCTGGGGGGCTGGGCCAGGCATCAAGAGGTTAAGGAGGAGTTTGGAGGCAAGTGGCCACACCAGGAGAGACCACTTAGCAAACCCCTGGATGGGAACGGCTTTGCAAGCTTCAAAGCAAGAGAACCGATTACAAGGACAAAAAAAAAAATTGAAATTCAACTAGATACACATTAAAATCATCTATGTATCACAGAAACAACCTAGAAAACATTAAACAGTAAACAGCAAAATGGGAAAATATTTGCAAGTATCACAACAGACAAGAGTTTAACATCCTTCTATATAAAAGAACGGGGTTATACTAGATCCCTGTAGTTAAAGGGGCAAAAGCAACAAATCATTCCCAGGTGGCTCAAAAGCAAACAATGTTCAGCCCCAGGGTTTAAAGAAATGAAGCTCAACCCCCAGTGAGAGCCCATTTTTTCCACTGTCAAGTTGGCAATGGAAAAAAAAATGAGAGTACCTTATGTGGGTAAAGATGTGATGAAATAGGTGTTCTCATACACCACTAGGGGGAGGATGAGTTGGAAGACAATTTTACAACATGTATAAAGAGCCTTGAAATGTTCATATCCTTTGACCAAGTAACTGAAGTCTGGGACTGTCTCCTTATGAAACAGCTTAAAATATGGACAAAGATTTATGCACCGAGTTAACAATTGCAGTGTTACTTATAATAACTGAAAACAAACCAAATACCCAATGATAGGGAATGGTTAAAATCATATCACGTGGCCACATGCAATGATGTTTAAAGAGAGTTTTTTGGTTTGAAAGTTTTTCCCTTTCATTGTTAATTTTCTAAGTGATTGGCACCATAGCTCCCCCCAGTGGTGACCAATGAGACTTTCAGTTAGTTTCCATTGTCACTGTGCTGTTTTTAGTTTTTTTCTCTCTTGAGTATTAATATGCACTCATAGATTCTTAGGAAAAGTTTTTAATAATACAGGAAAATGTTTTATGCTACAATGTCAGGTGAAAACAGCAGGAATCAAAATTTTGTATGCAACAAGTGGACTGTGATAAAAATGCAATTTAAATATGCCAATGTGTTAACAGGCTGTGTCTGAGTTGGTTTGTGATTTTTTTTTGTTTCCTTATGCTTTTCCTGGGCCTTCCACATTTTCCAGCATGAGCTTGTGTTAAATCCAGAAAAGGCAGGCAGAGATGGGTGGGGCTGAGGGCTGTGCCGCTCAGCCTGCCTCACTCCTCACCTGCCTTACCCCTCCCCACCCTGCGCCCCCTCTCCCTAGCTCCTGTACTCATCAGTGGAGAACATCCAGCGTGTGGCTGCAGGAGTTCTGTGCGAGCTGGCCCAGGACAAGGAGGCAGCCGACGCCATTGATGCTGAGGGGGCCTCGGCCCCACTCATGGAGCTGCTGCACTCCCGAAATGAGGGCACCGGTGAGGGCCTGTGCAGCAGGGGGCTGGGGGAGGGGGAGGGCCTTGTTCCCCAGCCTGAGGTAGAAGCAGGCGCCTGACTCGGCCTTTCCTTGCCTCTCTGCTCAGCCACCTACGCCGCTGCCGTCCTGTTCCGCATCTCTGAGGACAAGAACCCAGATTACCGCAAGCGTGTGTCGGTGGAGCTCACCAACTCCCTCTTCAAGCATGACCCAGCTGCCTGGGAGGCTGTGAGTATCCGGGGCTGGACCGCAGCATATGGTTGTGCAGGCTGCGCACTGCACAAGGGTAGCACGGTTAAGGGGGCCCCTACCAGACTATCAGCCCATAGATTTTTATTTTGTAATTGGATCATTTTATGACAAATTTCCGGCAGATGGAAGTACTAAATTGAACCATATATCTGTTTTTGACCTCCAAAAATGGCAATTTTATTTTGTGCAAACTAGTATGAAGGGTTTTAGGAAGGGATGCATTTTTCTAATCTGCACAAAGGTCATGAAGGCATACCTCGGAGATATTGCAGGTTCGTTTACAGACCACTGCAATAAAGCAAGGCACATGAATTTTTTGGTTTCCCATTGCATATAAAAGTTATGTTTACACTATACTGTAGTCTATTAAGTGTGCAATAGCATTATATCTAAAAAAGCAATGTATATACCTTAATTAAAAATACTTTATTCTAAAAACTGCTAGGCGTCATTTGAAACTTCAGCGAGTCGTAATCTTTTTGCTGGTGTAGGGTTTTGCCTCGATGTTGATGGCTGTTGACTGATTAGGGCGGTAATTGCTGAAGGTTGGGGTGGCTTTGGCAATTTCTTAAAATAAGACAACAATGAAGTTTGCTGCATTGAGTGACTCTTCCTTTAATGAAAGATTTCTCTGTAGCATTTGATGCTGTTTGATAGCATTTACCCACAGTAGAACTTCTTTCAAAATTGGAGTCAATCCTCTCAAACCCTGCCGCTGCTCTATCAGCTAAGTTTGTGTAATATTCTAAATCCTTTGTTGTCATTTCAACAACGTTGACAACATCTTCACCAGGAATAGATTCCATCTCAAGAAACCACTTTCTTTGTTCATCCATAAAAAGCAACTCCCCATCCGTTAAAGTTTTATCAGGAGACTGCAGCAATTTCAGTCACATCTTCAGGCTTTACTTCTAATTCTAGTTTTCTTGCTGTTTCCACCACATCTGCAGTTACTTCCTCCACGGAAGTCTTGAATCCCTCAAAGTCATCCATGAGAGTTGGAATCAACTTCTTCCAAACTCCCGTTAATGTTGATATTTTGACCTCTTCCCATAAATCATCAATGCTCTTAATGGCATCTAAAATGGTGAATTCTTTCCAGAAGGTTTTCAATTTCCTTTCCCCAGATCCATTAGAGGAATCATTATCTATGGCAGCTATAGCCTTACAAAATGTATTTCTTAAATAACAGGGCTTGAAAGTTTAAATTACTCCTTGATCCATGGGCTGCAGAATGGATGTTGTGTTAGCAGGCATGAAAACAACATTAATCTCTTTGTACATCTCCATCAGAGCTCTTGGGTGACCAGATGCATTGTCAATGAGCAGTAATATTTTGAAAGGAATCTTTTTTTTTCTGAGTAGTAGGTCTCAATAGTGGGCTTAAAATATTCAGTAAACCATGTTGAAAACAGATATGCTGTCATCCAGGCTTTGTTGTTCCATTTATAGAGCACAGGCAGAGTAGATTTAGCATAATTTATAAGGGCCCTAGGATTTGTGGAATGGTAAATGAGCATTGGCTTCACCTTAAAGTCACCAGCTGCATTAGCCCCTAACAAGAAAAGTCAGCCTGTCCTTTGAAGCTTTGAAGCCAGGAATTGACTCTTCCTGTCTAGCTATGAAAGTCCTACATGGTGTCTTGTTCCAATACAAGGCTGTTTGGTCTACACTGAAAATCTGTTGTTTAGTGTAGCCACCTCCAGGAATTATTTTAGCTAGATCTTCTAGATAACTTGCTGCAGCTTCTACATCAGCTCTTGCTGCTTCACCTTGCACTTTTATGTTACAGAAATGGCTTCTTTCCTTAAACCTCATGAACCAATCTTCTGCAGCTTCCTCACCTCTCTCAGCCTTCATAGAATTGAAGAGAGTTAGGGCTTTGCTCTGAATTAGGCTTTGGCTTAGGGGAATGTTGTGGCTAGTTTGATCTTCTATCCAGGCCACTAAAACTTTCTCCATATTAGCAATAAGGCTGTTTTGCTTTCTTATCATTCGTGTGTTCACTGGAGTAGCATTTTTAATTTCTTTTAAGAACTTTCCCTTTGTATTCACAACTTAGCTAACTGTTTGGCACAAGAGGCCTAGCTTTTGGCCTATCTTGGCTTTCAACATGCCTTCCCCACTAAGCTTAATCATTTCTAGCTTTTGACTTAAAGTGAGAGACACGTGACTCTTCCTTTCACTTGAACACTTAGAGGCCATTGTAGGGTCATTACTTGGCCTGATTTCAATATTGTTGTGTCTCAGGGAATAGGGAGGCCCAAGGAGAGGGAGAGAGACGGGAGAATGGCTGGTTGGTGGAGTAGTCAGAACACGCACAACATTTATCGATTAAGTTCATTGTCTTATATGGGTGCTGTTTCTGGTGCCCACAAACAATTACAATGGTAACATCAAAGATCACTGATCACAGATCAC